AAAAACAAAAAAAACCCCACAGAATTGTTTCAGGTAAGAGGGATGTTTTATTTATATTAATATCTGAGCATTCATAAAAATAATTTTATAAAATAAAACAATACCCTAGTGTCAGTAAGAGGGCTCTGCAAACTAAGGCACTTACAATCAAACCTGATGGCCTAAGTTTGATCTCAGGGACCGACTTGGTGGAAGGAAAGACCCAACTCCCACACATTGTCTTCTGATATTGATATGAGTGCAATGAATGCATCGTACATGTATGTACATAGGCAAGCACACAAAATAAATACAACGAAAAGATAAGGAATGAGCTTGAAACTGTTCAGTAGAACTTTCTGTGAAGTCTGAGTAGATACTGTATGTTCATGTTGTATTGCTGCCTTCCCCATCCCCCACCCTCCCACCCACCCCCACCTGTCAGGGTGACCAAATACCTAATAGAAGCAACTTATAAAGGGTTTATTTGGCTCAGGATTTGAAGGAATGCATACAGTCAGTCCATCATTACATTGGGAAAGAATGACCTCTAAACTCAACATTTAAATAAATTAGATATGCAAAGTCACGTTAAAGTGACAAGCAGACACCATGGATGAATCTTGTTAAGGTACATGAAAAATCAAGCTAAATTTCCAGTGTCAGTCATGAGACAGATTATCCGAGTGTATTTTCCTAGGCAATCCACACCTCTGCACTGCTCAGACCTGGTGAACCACTTTCCCATGTCCACAATGACTCTGTCCTAGCTTGTATGATGCTCTGGGTGTGCAGTCTTATAATTTCCCTCATTATGATTTACTATCATAAGACTGTTTATCTATGTGAGCCTGCCTAGAGGCAAGAAGACAAGTCTTACATTTGTAAGTTGGCATTCACTCCCTTATATCACTCTCCTAAGCATGTCTTCTGTGGCTCCACTCTGGGAGACGGATATGTTCTCCATTTGCTGATGAAGTTGGTTTAATACTGCTCTCAAGAGACAAGTTGGCAAGGAGTTAGTTACTTGTTGCAGCTGAGGTTCATTATGCTACTCTATTACACTATATGCATATGCAGAACCAGGGAACTAAGGAGGGAGCACCTGTGCCCTATAATCACCATTGTTCAGAAGGAAAACTTCTGTGAAAATGGAAACGTGTTAGATCAGCTCTATCCAATGCTACCTTAGACACTGACACAAAATAAACTCTGCCTGTAGCACCCCCACCCCAGATGCAGGAGACTGAAGAAGGAGGATCGTTGAGTTCAATCATGGGCAGTTGGATGACAGACTGTATAGTGAGACTTACCCAATCTCCCTTTCTTTTTTGCCTTCCAGGCCTACTCTATGCCCTTTTTTTCAGGGGGCAGGGACAGGCAGGATCTCATGTTGGTGACTGACCACCAACTCAGTACTTCTGATCCTCCTGCCTCCGTCTGCTGAGACCCAGATTATAGGTGTGCCCTACACTATGATTATGAAGTACTCAGGATCAAACCCAGGGCTTTATGCATGACAGGTAAGCACTGTACCAACTCAGGAACATCTTCACCTCAGAGGTGAGGCAGGAGGTCCTGGATATAACATACTTCTTCCTGGTCAGAGCCAAGACAGTGGTAACTTTTTTTTTTTTTTTGGTACAGCAGCAACGTTTATTGGGGGTGGGGACATCAGTCCTTCTTGGCCGTTGCCTTCCTCATGGCCACCAGCACGTTGCTCAGCAACTCCTCCTTCCTCTTGGCCCACGGATGTGAGTGCCCACCCTCTTCTTGATAAACTTGAGTCCTTGGACACCTTGAGCAGCTCCAGACCTGCCCGCTCACAGGACGCGAAGCCACACACCTCCTGGGTCATGTGCTGCATGAACTTGGTGTGCTTGGTGAGGCGCTGCTGCTCTCCGATGACAGCTGGGACAGGAAGCCACAATTTAACTCTTGCTTGCAATTTTCTGTACTAATGTTTCAGTTTCTGATCTATCGCTGTCAAGAGACACCAAGACCAAGGCAACTTTTTAAAAATTAATTAATTAATTTTAGTTTTTCCAGACAGGGTTTCTGCATAACAGCCCTAGCTGTCTTGGAACTTGCTTTGTAGACCAGGCTGGCCTCAAACTCATAGATATTCTCCTGCCTCTGCCTCCCAAGTGCTGGAACTACAGATGTGCACCACCACTACCTAGCTCTACCAGGCAATTTATAAGAGAAAATCATTTAATCAGGCTATCTTCCAGTTCCAGGGGGTAAGTACATGAGATCTGAAAGGTAGAGGGGAGGCAGGTTGGGACTGGGCCTAGCTTTTGAAATCTCAAAGCCCACCTCCAGTGAAACACCTCCTCCAAAGCCATACCTCCTAACCCTTCTCAAAACAATTCCATTAACTGGGAACCATTCAAACATGAGCCCATCGGGGCCATTGTCATTCAAAACACCATAACTAAGAAGTGCAACAGTTTCCTCAATCTGAAGTTACTAAGGACAGAACCCTAGAACTGCTAGCCATGTCCAAAGACTATCCAGAGAGTCAAACCAATTTAAGATACAAGATAGAGCCGGGCGTTGGTGGCGCACGCCTTTAATCTCAGCACTCGGGAGGCAGAGGCAGGCGGATCTCTGTGAGTTCGAGACCAGCCTGGACTACCAAGCAAGTTCCAGGACAGCCTCCAAAGCCACAGAGAAACCCTGTCTCGAAAAAACAAAAACAAAAACAAAAACAAAAAAAACAAGATAGAGATAGTCTTGATCCTTCTTAAGCCTTTGAGTCCAGTCAGGCCTGAAGTCAATCCCATCCTTTCCTGTTTCAACTGAGTAAGTCAGTAAGTTCCTTTTCTGCTTATATTAGTTTTATATTCTTGGCACCTTAAAAAGTCCTGAGATTGAAAACAAAAAGCAGCCGGGAGTTGGTGGCGCATGCCTTTAATCCCAGCACTCAGGAGGCAGAGGCAGGTGAATCTCTGTGAGTTTGAGGCCAGCTTGGTCTACAGAGCGAGTTCCAGGACAGCCTCTAAAACAATACGGAGAAACCCTGTCTCAAAAAACCAAAACCAAAACCAAAAAGCATACAGTCACAGTGGTATATACATAAACATAATCCCAGCACTTGGCAGGTGGAAATTCAAGGAAGAAGTTCAGCTACATGGTGAATTGGTTCAAGGCCAGCTATGCTATAAGAGACCATCCCAAACATTTTCCCCTAAAAACAAACAAGCAAGCAAATCACCAGGGCTGGATTAGTTTAGCAATTAGAGTGCATCCTGCTTGCAGATGACCAAAACTTTGGTTCCAAGGACCCACATCAGGTGGCTGACAAACACATGTAACTCTAGCTCCCGGGTATCTGAAAGCCTTTACTAGTCTCCTTGGGCACATGAACTCTTGTGTACATGCCTACACACAGATACATAAAATTATGTTACATAAGCAGTAAAACTGTCACATGGGCCTGGGTCATTAGTAGAAAAGTAAGGCATTTAAAATGACTAGGATGGGCTAGAGAGATGGCTCAGTGGTTAAGAGCACTGACTGTACTTCCAAAGGTCCTGAGTTCAATACAGCAACCACATGGTGGCTCATAACCACCTTCAATGAGCTCTGATGCCCTCTGCTGGCTTGCAGACAGAAGATTGTATACATAATAAATAAATAAAGTATTTAAAAAAAACTGACTGGGACATAAAAAATGACTGGGACATTAAGTCAGTTGGGGTACAAAGACTTCTGCACAAGTAGGTAAGAATTGAATAACACTCAGTATAAATTCTTTAGTACACTCTTCAGAATAGAGCAGGCCCTGATTAGCAAAAATAGTGGAAGGTAGCTGGCCTGTCACCTTTACTTCCCACACTTCAGGGGGTAAAGGCAGGTAGATCTCTATGAGTTGGAGCACCATCCTGGTCTACATAGTGAATTCCAGGACAACCAGGGAGATATATATATATATATATATAGCGAGAGAGAGACAGAGAGAGAGACCTTGGCACAACCCCCCACCCCCAATAATGACAAATAGTCCACTGCCATCCTTTTTTAATTTTTAAAATTACAACTACTTATTTTGTGTCTATCTATGTGGAGTAGAGACACATGAGCATACCAAGGAGTGTGTGTGATCAGACACCAACCCAAAAGCAGAAGTTGGTTCCTCCTTCCACCATGGGGCAGGGGATTCCTAGGGATGAAAGAAACTCAGGTTGTCAGGATTGGTAACAAGTCTGTTTACTCACTGTGTCATCTTGTCAGCCCTCCCTCAACTGTCATTTTTTTAACTGAATGAGAACTGAAATATCTCTTCACTCTTCAATTGCTTTTAGCAAATTTTGGTTTATGTATATGAGTATTCTGCCTGTATACATGTTTGTATACCACTTGCTTGCCTGGTACCTGGGAAAGCCAGAAGAGAGCACTGGATCCTCTGGAGCTAGAGTTAGATGGTTGTGAGCCACCATGAGTGCTGGGACATGAAAATGAGTCTGAGTCCCTATGGTTTCTTAACCTCTGAAATATCCCTTCAACCCCTTCTTTTTTTTTTTTTTTTCTTTTTTTTTCTTTTTTCTTTTTTTGGTTTTTCAAGACAGGGTTTTTCTGTATTGTTTTGGAGGATGTCCTGGAACTCACTCTGTAGACTAGGCTGGCCTCGAACTCACAGAGATCCACCTGCCTCTGCCTCCCAAGTACTGGGATTAAAGGCGTGGGTCACCAACGACCGGCTTTTTTTTTTTTCTTTTAGTCCAGCTATCTCATCATCAACTGAGGTGTAATATAAAAATAAGATAGAAAAAGGATTTCTGATATAACAAGATAAAACAGCTAGGGCTATCATAGGAGGGTATAAATCATAAACTCAGCCACATGTGGTGGCACACGCCTTTAATCCCAGCACTCATGAAGCAGAGGCTGACAGATTTTTGTTGAGTTTGAGGCTAGCCTGGTCTACAAAGCAAGTTTGAAGACAGACTACAGAAAGAAACTCTGTTTCAAAATAAAAATTAATATAAATAATAAATAATTCACAAACTCAAGTATTAGTGTGTTAAAATTTTCATCCTTTATTCCTTGTATCAGCAGATTAAATAGGTGGTATTTCTCCAACTACTGATTTAGAGATATTAAGAAGCACCAGTAAGTTTCACAGAATAACATTCAGTAATCTCTTTAAGTGCAATTTTAATCCTTATTATAAGCCAAATAGAACAATAATTTAATGCAATAAGCTAAATACACACAAACCCTGCATATCCTTAACTATGAAAATGCTTTACACAGCCACACAAAGGTTTAGTCAACTACACATTTTCACAATGAAAGTACTTACATTTATGCCACTATAACACCACCCAAAATACCTGTCCTGATATCAGGTTTACAAGCTTTGCCATCCCTACTACTGAAAGCATTTATCTTTAGAAACTTTATTGTTACCAAGGAAGATGAGGTCCACTAACACTAACGAATAGTAGTTTCTTTAAAAAAAAAAGTATTCTTTAGAAAATATTAAAATAAATGATCTATTAAGACAAAGATTCTTACAAGAACTTAGTTCCTTAAAAGAAACACAAACCAGTTCTTTCTCTTTAATAACTTCTCCTGCCACTGTCACAAAAACTTGAAATACATAAAGCACAAGCATCAAGTTTCATAAAGTCAAAAGCATATTTAGATTGCATACTATGTAGCCATGGTATATAGCTTGGACCACACAAGTCTACCTAAATACTACCTTACCTTTTTCAGATGGAACTACACAGTTGGTAGTCATTAAAGCCCAGCAAAGAATTAAATACAGTCAAACATAAGCAATGAAAGGCTCAAGTTATACAGCTAAACTTGAAGACCTCTTTCATTGCTATCATGATATACTGTAGACAAGTTATACAGCTAAACTTGAAGACCTCTTTCACTGCATACCGAGCTATCATGATATACTGTAGACAAGTTATAATGTATGGTTTCCAAACAAAATATCAAAAATTCAGATATTACAAACTGTGTCAAGATCCATAGTTGGCTTCGTCAAAGGCTTTTCTAGCCCGTTTCAATTCTTCGTTCATAGTAAGTAAGTCTTTAACTCTAGCAAACTTCCTTGGGTCCTTTCGAATCAGGAAGACAATATCTTCAACTTGCACTCGACCCTGTCTTCCAATCGACATTGCCTTGTGAGTCTATGACAAGGAAATGCATTCATTTTTAAAAGTCAAATATTTTTGTGTTTTAAGTTGCTATTAAACAACTGGTGAGGTTGAAGATTTTCTCATCTAATTACAGTTACGCATTCATCTTGTTCCTTTTCCATTGCATAGTTAGCAGTATTTTTTTCATTAAGGACATTAAAACAACCAAAGTGAACTGGACCAGTGAGTTGATACACACCTTTAATCCCAGCACTCAGGAGGCAGAGACAGGCAGATCTCTGTGAGTTCAAGGCAAGCCTGGTTTATATAAACATTTGTATAGCAAGTTCCTGGTAATACAGCAAGTTCCAGGCCAGACAGGACTACATAGTAAGAGCCTGCCTCAACAATAAATAATAAATACCCAAAACAACAAAATCTATCAAATTTGGAAATACGCCTGTTTTGTTTTGTGATATAGGTAGAGTTTTTGTTTTGTTGGGGTGGGGTGGCTTGTTAAAGGTGTTCTGGGGTGCTAGTGAACAATAACATTAGAGTTTAATAGCTTGGGAGGAAGGGAGGTATATGGAGGCTAAATAGTAACACTGGTCAAGACTGCTTAAACCTTATATACCAAAATCTATACTGAAGACACAACCCTAACATTTGTTACTGTTGTTTCTGAGACATGGTCTCACTATATAACCTGGAATACACTATGTAGCCCAGCCTTGCCCTGAACTCAGGCCCACTTGTCCAATTACTATTTATCTTTTGTGACTGCTTATAGCCCAGGCTGGTCTCTGCAACAAGTTCTGGGTTACAAGCACATGTACCACACTACCCAGCTTTGTTTTTGTTTGCTGAGACAAGGTCTTGCTATGTAGACGAGGCTGGTCTTGAAACTGGGGTCCTTCTGCCTCATCCTCCTGAATGTTAGCATGCTGAGATTACACCCTCTCATACATGGCTGTTTTGCTAGTGTTTGGTTTTTTGTTTATTGTGGGGTTTTTTTGGTTTCATTCTTTCATTTTATTTTACTTTTTTAGATGGTTTCATTATATATCTCTGGATGGTCTAGAACTTGTAATACATAGACCAGGTTGGATTTTTTTAACTTATAGTGATACTCATGTCTGCCTCTGGGATTCTGGGATTGCAGGTATGATCCACTATGCCAGACTGTGTCATTTAATATGGTGCTGGGGGCGGAACCCAGGGCCTCACACACACACTAAGTGCATGATCTACCACTACTACTGCTATGCTTTCCTTCTGTGCTGTATTAAACCCAGGCCCTTATGCACACAAGGCTTGGTTCTTCCACTAAGCTCAGCCTCTGCCTTTGCTGAGTAATTTTCTTCACTTTTATTCTGTAGTAAGGAAATAATCCAAAATAAAGGGTGAACACTCATAAGAACTAAATATAGACAATCTCAGTAACCATATCCCTGCTAATATACCCAAAGGAAGGATAGGAAGAAATCCATAAAAGTGGTCATTCAAGATGTAGCTTGGTGATAGTGCATTTGCCAAGCATTCAAGAGAACAAAACCACCTGTAATAAATAACTTATACAAGAAGGTTATGGTTAATCATAATCAGTGTGATAATCAATATTGAGTTTGAACTCAGTCTGCAAGTTTTCCTAACATGCATAAAGCCCTGGATTTGATCACCAGCAGTGAATAAATGGGCCTGATGGCACAGCCTATATTCCCAACACTCAGGATGTGGGGGCAGGAGAATCAAAACTTCAAGGTTGTCTTTGGGTACACAGTGAAGCCAGCCTGAAATGCATAAGACCCTGTCTCAAGGGGGAAATAAAATTCAGATGAATTTATACAGCTACTAAAATAAGATTAAAACGCATATTGTAAAACATTTAAGAGTAAAATGAATGTTATAATGATCACTACTATGGTAAACATTATGTAACTTAAGTTTAACTTTTGATTTTGTTTATCTTTGGAGAGGATTCCAAAAGATTTAAAAAAACAAAACCCAAAGGTATGACATAAACTGTACATACCTTTAAATAAAACTGGAAGGAAAAGAACTTAGGCTGTATGAGATTATGAGCAATACTTTTTCATTTTATTCAAGGATATTGTTTTAACAAATAAAACTCTGAAGTTGGAGAAACTGCTCAGTGCTGTTCTTCCAGAGGACTGGAGTTCAATTACTAGCACCCACAAAGCAGCTCACAACCATCTATCTTCAGTTTCAGGGGACCCAACGCCCTCTTCTGGTCTCTGAGAATACCAGGCACACACACAGTACAGAGATATACTTGTAGGCAAACACACACACACACAATAAAAAAAAACAAAAACAAATAAAACTCAGAAGTCTGGAATACATTTATGTAATCTCCATTATTAATGGCAACTTAGATTAATGTTAATAGAAGCCAGGAACTTGCACAAAGCAGGTACTCAAATGGCTTATTTCAAAAGTTTTAGTGTTATTTCAAGCTTAGAATTTCAAATCTTGAACTAAAACAGTTACAAAAATAAAACAAAAGAATTAATACATAACTGTCTTACCATTTCAGTAATGAACTCTATGACAAGGTCTTCAAGAATATCCACTGATTCAGTGTAAGGATTCTGGTCATCCCCAAACCCATACATCATACATCGCACTGTGAAAGAACAAGAGCTTTAGTTTATTCAGAGACTGACAAATTTCACCATTATCTTTTCCATATCAGCAGGATTAAACCAATTTATAAACAATGGCTCAAAAACATTATGGCTGGGCATGGTAGTACATGGCTTTTTAAACCCAGCAGTCAGGAATCGAGACAAGAGAATCTGAGTTCAGGCCCAGGATGCTCGCACAGTAAGACCATGTCTCGCCAGGCAGTCGTGGCCCACGCCTTTAATCCCAGCACTCGGGAGGCAGAGGCAGGTGGATCTCTGTGAGTTCGAGGCCAGGCTGGACCGACAGCCTCCAAAACAATACAGAGAAACCCTGTCTCGTAAAAACCAAAAAAAAAAAAAGACCATGTCTCAAACAAAATATTACAACTGTCTCCAACTGGACTTTGGCATAAAAGGTCTCAGCAGTCCTATGACCAGCCTCCATAAACCTTCCTCCTTCCCAAGCTACTAAACCCTAATATTATTTACGTACTACCCATTCACTAGTCCCTCAAAACACCTTTAAATGTAGTAAGGACAAGGCTAGGGATAGCTTAGCCTTTCTTTCTTTTCTTTTATTCTTATGTTCTAGCTGTCCTAGAACTCACTTTATACACCATGCTGGCCTCAGACTCACAGAAATTTACCTGCATCTGCCTCCGAGTGCTGGGATAGAAGCCGCACACTACCACACCTGGCCTGAAAGATCAGCCCTTCCTGCAAGTGATGTGGAAGTATGGGAGGTAGTGGGGCATTGGAAAGGAGAAGGCAGAGGGTCTCCAACACCACCACAGGGGAAAGGGCAGGATAGAGAGTGCTCCAATTACCTTCTCATAAGAAACAGGCTAAGACAGGAGTTGGTAGCACTTGGAGGCAGAGGCAGGCAGATCTCTGTGAGTTCAAGGCCAGCCTGGTCTACAGAGCGAATTCAAGGACATCCTCCAAAAAAAAAAAAAAAGAAAAAAAGAAAAAAGAAAAAGAAAGAAAAGAAAAAAGAAACAGGCTAAAGCCAGTTGTGATGATGCACGCCTTTAATCCTAACATTCAGGAGGCAGAGGCAGGAGGATCTCTGAGTTAGAGGCCAGCCTGATCTACAGCGTGAACTCTAAGACAACCAGGGCTTCACAGAGAAATCCAATCTCAAAAAAGTCAAACAAGACAAAAGAAACAGGCTGAAACCCTTTTAGGCTTTATCTGGAAGAGCAGAATATACAAAAGAGAAGGAAAGTCTAATTCAGAGTAATAAAAATAACTGCAAAAAGCTAAAAACTTATTTAGTTATCCAATAGGCCGCATACCTTTTAGAGGCTTTTCATATAATTCATTCAATTCCCACACAGGCCTCTAATTTAGACACTGTTGGTAGGGACACTAAGGCAATAAGTGAAGTGACCCACCCTAAGGTCACACAGCTAGTTAAATGGTGAACCTTAAGTGTGACCCCAGCTGATCTGAACCACAGCAGTAATGCTCTTCTTTGTAGTTCAGAGCAGACAGGACTCATAAGGATGCTCAACCTATGGTCGGCATATTCCAGTTACTTCACAGACAGGCATCACACATCTGTACATATACATTCTCTGGAAAGAACTGTAATTTTTGTCAAGTTTTCAAAGGGTATGTGGGGCTGGAGAGATGGCTCAGCAGTTAAGAGCATTGGCTGCTCTTCCAGAGGTCCTGAGTTCAATTCCTAGCACCCACACGGCAGCTCATGATCCGATGCCCTCTTCTGGTGTACAGACATACATACATACATAAAATACATAAATAAAGTATGTAAGGCCGGACAGTGGTGGCGCATGCCTTCAATTCCAGCACTTGGAAGGCAGAGGCAGGCAGATTCTGTGAGTTTGAGACTAGCTCTTGAGACAAGAGCTAGTTCCAGGACAGCCTCCAAAGCCACAGAGAAACCCTGTCTCGAAAAACAAAACAAAACAAACAAAAAACAAAAACAAAAGGGGCATGCAATGCGGCCAAAGCTGGAAGTCTTCTGCCTTTGGATGGAAATGGGTTGTTTCTCCTGTGCCTGTACACCAACCATAGCCTTCTGTTTTCTTTTGTCTGTCACAGGAGCTCAACTATGTAGGTCAGCCTGGCTCAGAACTCAATCCTGCTTCTACTTCCTAAGTGCCAGGGTTACTTAATGTTGACCTCAGTAGTGACCAACAGTATACATATTACTGTAATCTTAGGACATGCACAATTTACTGTATGCAAGTCTTTTTTTTTAAGGGAAAGTTGAAGGGCTAGAAAGACGCCTCTGTGGATAAAGATGCTTGCTGTGTAATCCTGACTGCCTAAGTTCAAGCCCTTCAACTCATGTAAAGGTGGAAGGAGAGGATCAACTTCACAAAGTTGTCTACTGCTCTCCTAATGCATCATGGGACATGCACACTCATACATATATAAATGAACAAAGTAATAATGATGATGATGATGATAATAAATAAAAACTTAAAAAAGACAGCAAGTGGGTATGGTGGCACACGCCTTTAAACCCAGCATTTGAGAGGCAGAGGAGGAGGATTTCTGCAAGTTCGAGGCCAGCCTGGTCTATAAAGTGAGTTCCAGGACAGAGCTGTTACACAGAGAAATCTTGTCTCAAAAAGATAAAAATAAAAAATAAATAAAATAAAAGAAAGTAAAATAAGACAGAGTATCATTATGTAGCTCTGTGGCTTTGGAGGCTGTCCTGGATCTCCCTTGGTAGTCCAGGCTGGTCTCGAACTCACAGAGATCCGCCTGCCTCTGCCTCCCAAGTGCTGGGATTAAAGGTGTGCGCCACCAACGCCCGGCCTATTTATTTTTTAACATTTTATTTATTTATTGTATATATAGTCTTCTACCTGCATGCCAGTGGAGGGCACCAGATCTCATTCAAGGTGGTTGTAAGCCACTGTGTAGTTGCCAGGAATTGAACTCAGGACCTCTGGAAGAACAGTCAGTGCTCTTAACCGCTAAGCCATCTCTCCAGTCCTTGAATTCTATTTTTAAAACTTGCCCCCCCCCACAGGGTTTCTCTGTATTGTTTTGGAGCTTGTCCTGGAACTGGAACTGGCTCTTGTAGACCAGGCTGGTCTCAAACTCACAGAGATCCGCCTGCCTCTGCCTCCCTAGTGCTGGGATTAAAGGCGTGCGCCACCAATGCCTGGCTCCCTAGTCAGATCTTGCAGAATATTCCATCCATTGTTTTCTCATGATTATACTGAGGTTGGAATGCTTTTACACATTAGAAAGGATCTCACAGGGCTAGAGAGATGGCTCAGAGGTTAAGAGCACTGACTGTTCTTCCTGGGGTCCTGAGTTCAATTCCCAGCAACCACATGGTGGCTCACAACCATCTATAATGAGATCTGGTGTCCTTTTCTGGCCTGCAGGCAGACATGCAGACAAAACACTGTATACATAATAAATAAATAAATCTTAAAAAAAAAAAAGGATCTCACATCAGGGGTACATGTCAATAAACCACTGATGATGTTAACTTTGATCATTAGCTAAAGTGACATTTGTTACAATTTCCCACCGTAAGCTGTTTTTTCCTTAAACATTTGAAGAAGACACTTAACAAACACTTTGATGGGTATAATTCACCTATTTCATTAGGAACAGAAAACTTACATTATATAAGATGTACATATTTAGAAATCGACTGTATTTGGTCAAATGGTCGGTATAGACATAGACAAAGGACAGTGGATGACTTGAAACTGTTATACTAAAAAGAAAACTTTAGAACTGGGGATATGGCTCAATCAGGAGGGTTCCTGCCTTGCATGCTCAAAGCCCTGAGTTTGATCGCAGCACTGAATAAAACTGCTCATTGTGGCGCATTCCTGTAATCTAGGCCTTGGGAAGTGGAGGCAGGAGGATCAGAAGTTACAAGGCCAGTCTAGGCTATAAGAAACCCTTTTCAAAAACAAACAAGCAAACAAAACAGACATGCTAATGTGGAGTGGGGGAGGGGGGCTCAACTCTCTTTGAAGAACTACAGGCAACTAAGGAATTCTGAGAAAGGGAGGAATAGTCTTCACAGAAAGGAGCACACCAACTGGTTATCCAAGACTAATGGTGAGCCCTGAAAACGCACAGCTAAGGCCATGGGGCTGGAGGGATAGATAGCTCAGCTGTTAAAGGCTAGGCTCACAACCAAAAAATGAGGCCATACATTTTAAAAAGCAAGAAGGGGTCTATGGGAGGATTTGAAAGGAGGAAAGGGAAGGGAAAAATTATATAACTTTTAAAAAAAATGGCGAATCGGGCTTTGATAGCACACGCCTTTAATCCCAGCACTAGGGAGGCAGAGGCAGGCGGATCTCTGTGAGTTCGAGGCCCGCCTGGTCTACAGAGCTAGTTCCAGGACAGCCTCCAAAACAATACAGAGAAACCCTGTCTCGAAAAACAAAAAAACAACAAACAAACAAAAAAAAAAACAACAAAAAAAAATGGCCCAGGGAGAGGGCTCAGTCAGTTAAGAGCACCTGCTGCGAAGCCTGAGGACCTAAGTTCTATCACTGCGAACCACATGGCAGACAGAAAGAATCATGAAGGCAAGAGGAACAGCAGTTTAAAACCAATCTGGACTGCACTAAGAGCCTGTCAGAAAAACAGAGAAAATAGATACAGAGACACAAAGATTCTATTCAGTCAATGAAAGAAGCCTGTGAAGATTCCAAAATTTTGTCACCACAAAGGTAAAGCAGTTGAAACTGAACCAAAGGTTCAACAACAGAGTTCTGGAGTGCTTTGGTGTCAGGATCCTTTTCCTATCTCCACATGACACAAAGTAAAACCACGGACAAATCAGGTAGTTAGCATCAGGGAGATAGAATAGGAAGTGGTCAGATTTAAACAAAAAGTAAAGACACTGAAAAGGATTTTGTTCTTGTTTTGAGACAGGATCTCATATAGCACAAGCAGGCTTCAAACTCACTATTTAGATGAGGATAACCCTGAACTCTAAATCCACCTGTCCCTACCTCTCCCAAGAGCTGGGATTGTAGGTATGTGCAACCATGTGTGGCTGGAAACAGATTTAGACAGTTAAAAGCAGATCTTGCAGTTTCAAGAATTTTTAGATACTACTGCAGGCATTCATAAATCTATGTTGCTGTACTTCTCAATGCTCACTCCATGGACCCTGGGCATGGAGATGAGAGAATACACTCTCTGGGCGCTGTTCAGGACAAGAAGAGACAGTTAGCTAACCCGGCTGCTACCCCAAAGGACCTAACTTGTCTGCTGAAGGAGCATGAGAGAAGCCAGCACACTATAATCTCCATGCCACTGTGAGTACTGCACACTTCTGACCCGTTCACTGCCTGAATCCAAAGCCTCAGCTTAATCATTGGAAGGTGGGGCCGGGCGTTGGTGGCGCACGCCTTTAATCCCAGCACTCGGGAGGCAGAGGCAGGCGGATCTCTGTGAGTTCGAGACCAGCCTGGACTACCAAGCAAGTTCCAGGACAGCCTCCAAAGCCACAGAGAAACCCTGTCTCGAAAAACCAAAAAAAAAAAAAAAAAAAAAGAAAGGTGGGAACAAGAGAAACACAACATCACGGTCATCCCCGGCTACGTAATGAGTGCAGGCCGGGATACACGAGACCCTCTAAAAGCAAAACAAACAAGGGAAAAACAGCAACAAACACATACAGAAAAAGGGTGGTGCTCAGGATGTATCTCAGTTAGTAGCAGAGCGCTAATTTAACATACACAAAGCCCTAGTTTCAATCCTCAGCAAGGCATAAACTGGGAATCATGACACAAGCCTCTAAGTCTAGCACTGGGGAAGTAAAGCAGGAGCGTCAGAAGTTCAAAGCCATACTCATCTACATACCAAGTTTGGAGCATTCTGGGATACATAAAACACTGCCTCGGCTGGGTGGTGGGGGCACACATCTTTAATCCCAGCACTCAGGAGGCAGAGGCAGACAGATCTGAGTTTGAGGTCAGTCTGTGTTTACAGCCACACAGAGAAACCCTGTCTCAAAAAAGCAAAAGAAGCCGGGCGTTGGTGGTGCACGCCTTTAATCCCAGCACTCGGGAGGCAGAGGCAAGCGGATCTCTGTAAGTTCGAGACCAGCCTGGACTACCAAGCGAGTTCCAGGACAGCCTCCAAAGCCACAGAGAAACCCTGTCTCGAAAAACCAAAAAAAAAAAAAGCAAAAGAAATAAGAAAATAAAAACCTGACTTCCCCACCCCCCCAAAAAAAGGCAATCATGATCACATCCATCATTTTATGTGCCCTACAAAGAATTAGCATACATGATTCAGAAAACAGTTATGCTAAACATAGGGGTACACACCTGTAATGCCAGTACTTCAGAGTCTAAGGCAGGAGGACTGCCACCAAACCAGGCTAGCTCAGGCCACACAGTGAGCACCAGAATAGCCAGCACTATAGAGAAACTATCTTAAAACAAACAAAAAACAAGCAAAACAACAACAAAAAACTTGCTTCATAAGCAAGTCTAAGAACACTGTCCCTATAGGCAAACATATCCAGAATAATAAATCTTACTTTAAAAGGACATGTTCAGGCTTTCACCATCTATAATAAAAGCACTGCAAAATACAACTTACATTCTTTGGAGAAAAGTCTCTTTCTTTTCCCTTGACCACCTTCTGCTCCTCCTCCAATTTCTTCATTTTCCTCCTCAAACTAGAAATTTGAAAATACATAAAGATATGTCAAATGACTGTACTGCATTTGATAGTCCACTGTTCTCTCTTATGTGTGCTGTGAGTTGAATCTAGGAGCTCAAGATTCTAAACAGATGCTTAACCTCTGAACTACACCCCAGACCCTTTCATTTTCACTTTTTTTTTTAATGTGTATTGTGTGTGCCTACATTGACCATGTGCTTGCTGATGACCACAGGGGTCAAATAGGGTGCCCAATCCACTGCAGCTGTAGCTATAGGTGACTGGGTTGCCAGATGTGACAGTATGAGCTTTTAACCATTAAAGTCATCTCTCTAGGCTTTTCTTTTTTTGGGGGGGGGGGGAGACAAGGCGGACCCGTCTGCCTGGAACTAAGATATCCACTTGCCCCTGCCTCCTGAGTGCTGGATTTAAAGGTGTGCACCACCATGCCCGGTGAGTGACCCTTCCTCATTTTCAATAGTGAGAAGCTAAATCGAACAGCACAACATGATGAAAACTTAGCCTCAAAGGGTTCTTAAGACCTAGTCCAATTCTCAGGTCACACAGGAAGGCTTCTATCATGGCCCCTAGCAGCCCTACACCTATGGGTGCAAATGTCCTTATGACCTCAGGTTCTGGGTTTTGTTTTCAGACAATTAGGTTGTCATACTGTTAGGCAATGCTACAGTATGAGACCTGAAAACTCTCAATTGTCATCGGAACCAACATTCACTAAGAACCTATCAGTATGGGGCTAAAAACTCCCTAAGTGGGGCTGATCCCATCTCATGACAAGAAAACCCATGTCTGAAGTTAGAAAAAGCAGAGCTTGGACTTGAAGCTTCCTGACATTAGTTCTGTTAGCAGCGGGGCTGCCCGACCCGTGGTATTTATTAGTTTTGATCTCCCATAGCCCTCTAGGCGTCTCCAAAATATCTGGCATATGAAAAGGAGCCGCCTTCCTTCTCTTCCTTCCCGTCCTGCCCCCCGACTGAGGCAAATCCGAGGAGGAAAACACTGCGGAGCCCCCCGACGCTCGGCTGGATTCCCTACGGAACGCGAGGTTCAGACTCTGCTTCCACTAGTGAGCCCGAGGGCGCGTGGAAACAGGCTGCGACAGAGGCGCTCACTCACGGTGGGGTCTTCCTCCTCATCTGCCATCCCAGCGGCCCGCCAGCCTTCTGAGCGCCACCCCGGCGCTGGCGGCTTTTATAACATCCGGTGCGTCACTTCCGGCCTGGCGGGCGGGCGGGCGCTGCGCCTGCCGGAACGCGTTCCCTATCTCCTCCGCAGGGCTTCGAGACCGGCTGAGAAGTAATGCCGCGCCCTTGGGCGTGGAGTCCTGAAGAAGGCGTCCCGGAGCCTCGGCCGGCCGGTGGTGGTGCACGCCTTTAATCCCGGCACTCGGGAGGCAGAGGCAGGCGGATCTCTGTGAGTTCGAGGCCAGCCTGCTCTACAGAGAGAGTGACAGGACAGCCTCCAAAGCGTCTGTCTAGAAAAGCAAAAAAAAAAAAAAAAAAAAAAAAAAAAGAGGAGAAGAAGGAAGCCATCCTTGGTATTGCTAATTGCTATCCTGAACTCAGGAGAGTGAGGGGAGAGGGTCTCGAGTTCGAGAGCAGCCTAGACTCCATGAGCCCGCCTCTTAGAAAACATGACAAATGTGTACATACACATGGAGATTTATAAATAAATGCCTGTAATTGCAGGGCTAAAAATGATGGGTTTTACCCTCCAGACCTGATGCACTCAAGTACACAAGCCACATAGTCAGTCATACATGTTTTTAAAATACAATCTTTATGGTGGATTTTCTTTTTTCTTCTTTAAGACAGGGTTTCTCTGTGTAGCTTTTGGAGCCTGTCCTGCTGGAACTCACTCTGTAGACCAGGCTGGCCTGGAACTCACAGAGATCCACCTGCATCTGCCTCCAGAGTGTTGGCCTTAAGGTGTGGGCCACCACCGCCCACCTTAAAACAGAAATCTGTATGTGTATGAATATTTCGCCTGTATGTGTACCACATGTGTGCAGAGCCAAAGAGGCCAGAAGAGGGCATCTGATTCCCAGGGACTGGAGTTTAGATTGTGAACTGCTATGTCGGTGCTGGGAATCAAACACAGGTCTCTGGAATCTTAATCACAGCACCATGTCGCATGTCCCGTTAATACACATGACTTTTAAAAAACATAATAATCTTTTTTTTCTTTTAATCGCAAACGATAGGCTGGAGAGATGGTTCAGCTAGTGAAAGCTCTAATGTAGTAAGCCTAAGGACCAGGTTCAATCCCTGGGGCCCATATAAAAGGTGAAATGTGAGAACTGATTCCACAAGGTTGTCTAGTTTCCATACACAATTATAGGTAAAATTTTTAAAATTACACAAGAGCCGAGTGCGCTGATGCACTCCTATAATCCCAGCCTCCAGAAGCAGAGGCAGGAAGATCTCTATGAGTTCTAGTCCAGCCATGGCTACATAGTGAGGCCATTTATCTTTAAAAAATAACAAAAGGGGGGGGGACTGGAGAGATGGCTCAGTGTTTGGGAGCACTGTCTGCTCTTCCAGAGGACCCAGGTTCAGTTCCCAGCAACCACATGACAGCTCACGACTGTCTGTAACTCCAGTTCCAGAGGATCCTACATCCTGACACAGACACACATGAAGGTTCAGTTCCCAGCAACCACATGACAGCTCACGACTGTCTGTAACTCCAGTTCCAGAGGATCCTACATCCTGACACAGACACACATGAAGGTTCAGTTCCCAGCACCCACATGACAGCTCACGACTGTCTGTAACTCCAGTTCCAGAGGATCCTACATCCTGACACAGACACACATGAAGGCAAAGCATCAATAAATGTGAAATAAAGGTAAATTAAAAAAAACTTTTTAAAAAGGGTTGTTTATTATTATTATTTTAATTTTTAGAGAAATAACACCATGAGCCAAGCAGGTGTATCTCCTCACTCCAACTTGTTCCTTTAGGTTTGATCAATGCCTTCTGAGTCCAGAGGCAAAGTTGTGTTATATACAAATGTCAGCCGAGACTCTTGGAACTGACTAAAGGATGTACAGCCATGAACCGTTTCAAGGACTGTAAGTCCTTCTATTTATGTACAGTGTTACAGGAGGACATCCTGCTTCACTTGTAGTTCTCAAAGGAACAGTGCTCTTAAGATGAGAGGACTTAGACTTTTGTTAGGTACTTTTTTTTTGTCAGAGCAGTGACAGAGAAAACTACATTGGAAGGCTAGAGCTAGGCTTGAAAAATGACCTTTAGTGTAAGAGAGGGTGACCTCACCAAGCAAAATGAGCCTGTCCGGTGCTGCACGTGATTGCAGCGAGTGAAAAAGACGATTAAAGGAGATTAAAACCTGTTAGCATATTTACAAAGTGAGTTTTCCCCACTTTACACACACTTTGAAACCCAGCACGACAGACATCTATAATCCCAGCACCTGACAGAATGAAGCAAGAGTGTGGCAGTGCCCAGCCTGGGTCATCATCTGATATCCATAGTAAATATACAGTAATAGACGGGTTTTTTTTTTTTTTTTTAGGAATTTCTTTCCTATTGTTTAGATCTTAGGAAGAGCTGCAGACTGTTTCAGGCAGAGATATTACCAAAGAAAATATTTGTAATAATATTTAGATTCAGTTTGCATCCACAGCTCCTACATAAAAACCTAACTTTAGCTGGGTATGGTGGTGCAGGCCTTTGATCCCAGCACTGGGGGGGAAGCAGAGACAGAGGTAGACAGAACTCGGAGTTTGAGGTCAGTCTGGTCTACAGAGTGAGTTCCAAAACAGCCACCCAGACAGCCCTGTCTGAAAACAACAAAAAGGAACTTAGACTTCACTAGAGAGATGGTGGCTCAGTGGTTAAAAGTACTTTTTGTTCTTGGAGAGAACCTGGATTCAGTTCTTGGCAGCCACATGATGTTCACCTGTCTGTAACTTGAGCTCTGGAGGATTTGTCGCCCTCTTTTGGCCTCCAGGGGCACTGAAGATAGCACAAAACACTCATATACATAAAATTCAAAATAAAAGCTTTTTAAAAATTCCTAGAATTATTGTATCCTCTAGTGTAGTTGGGTCTATGCATTTACATATCAAAACATGAATTACTGTCTTGATCACACACACACTGTGTGGGTTTTTTGAGATAGAATCTCATGTAGCTCATGTTGGTCTCAAACTTACTATGTAGCTGAAGCTTGAACTCTTGATCTTCCAGTCTCTACCTCTTTCTACCTCTCAAGTGGTGGGATTACAAGCATGTGCCACATCAGTTATATATTTCAAAGTATATTAGTAGGCAGATGTATTTGGCATTTATTGTGTAAAAATAACAAAACCTAGTAAAAAAGACAAGACACATTTTAAAAGTTGGGCATAGAGCAGGGTGTTGGTGGAGCATGCATTTAATCCCAGCACTTGGGAGGGAGAGGCAGGCAGATCTCTGTGAGTTCGAGGCCAGTCTGGTCTACAGATCGAGTTCCAGGACAGCCTCTAAAACAATACAGAGAAATCCTGTCTCGAAAAACCAAACAACAACAACAAAGTTGGGCATAGTGATATATGCCTGTAATCCCAAGAGGCAAGAGAACCACCATGAGTTCCAAGCAGCCAGGACTCTAAGAAATGACCTGTCTCAAAAACAAACTGAGGGCGGGGTGGCTCAGCAGGAAAAGCTCTTGCTACTTACATGGACAACTTGAGTGAGTTTGGTTCCCAGGATTCACAAAAGAGGAGAAAACCAGCCCCCACAAGTTTAAACAACTTGGCACAGTGCTTGTGGGGCAGGAATGTGGGTGCGTTTTATTTGGTGTTTCTAGCTTCCTCTAACAAGGCCACACCTCCTAATAGTGCCACTCCATTTGATGGTCATTTTCTTTCAAACCACCACACATTCCTTCTAGAAGGAAACTACAATATGGCAGGCTGTTGGTTTCCCTCAGAGCAGACAAATTAGGGAATCTAAAAGAACACCCAGAAGAAAGAAGCCATTTTTTTTAACCTAGTTTTGGAAGTAACATCATATCTGGGCTGCTCTGTTCCATAGATGAGAGTCAATGCATGCAGGCCATGATCAAGGAAGGGGATTACAGAAGGATAAAAGTATAAGAAGGGGAGGTCAATGGGGGCTCCTAGAGGCCATGTACCACATTCTATTACATTATCCATGAATTTAATCTCAGAACAATGAAGGAAACAGTTGCTATTTAAGAAGGACTGTTGCAGGAGGAGAAAATAAGAGGAGTGACCATATGTTCAAAGTACAGGATATGCTTCTATAAAAATATCATTATGAAACATCATTTTATACAATGGACACTCACTGTAAATTGGTTATGGAGGTAGGGAGCTGCAACTGTGTTAAAGATTCTACAAGGCCCTAGCCTGGCGTGGTGGTGTATGCCTTTAATTCCAACACTCTAAAGGCAGAGGTAGGCAGGTCTCTGAGAGTTTGAGGCCAGTGTGGTCTACACCTCCATACAGCTACATAGGGAGATGCTGTCTGAAAAGACAAAACAATGACAAAAAACACTGCAAGTCAAAGCCAAATTATCTTGGGCTATGTTTAGTCCCTCCAAATCACACTGCAGTTTTTTGTTTGTTTTATTTTAGACAATCTTACATATTCCAAGCTTGTCTGAAACTATGTATCTCAGGTTGATCTCAAATTTCTGATCCTCCTGCCTCCACCTTCCATCTCTTGAGAGAAGGAGACTCCTGCACAGCAGGGGTTTCCTCTTGGACCCAGGATTAGGCACAAACCACACAAACAACTGTTTTCACAGATCCTTTATTAAGTGAGGAAGAAAAGTTAAAGTGGATGCTCTCTGGTTGAGGCAGAAACAGCAGCAAATGACACTGCAGGTGTAAATTTTAAGAGGAGGAAAAGGAGAGGTCTGTGTTAGAATGGGATAAGATGCTGTGTTAAAGGAGATAGAGGATGATGGAGAGGGGAAGGGGACAAGGAAAAGGGAGAAGAGGTATTTGTCCTGAAAGGACAAAGGACTACTTCTGGATAGAGAGGAGACAGATGTGATAGACAGGCAAGTGGCAATTTATGGGCGAACCTGTAAGCATTTCGACAGATCAGATGGCATGGACAGGGATGGATTATGGCACTCAGGAGCCAAAGAATACTGAGTGTTACAGCTCAGGTGGAAAAGTATTCTGGCACTTAGGAGCCAAGGAATACCACAGGTCACAGTAGGCATA